GAAGAAGTTCAAAGATCCTCTCTGATACACTCTCCACCTACCCTCTAAGTAGCAGAAGAGTGCTGAAATGACTGGCAATACTTTCGGGCACTGAAGAACAATAATTTCTAGTGTATAGAACCTTGAGAATATAAGCAACCCAACACAGATAGGAAGGCTCTTTTCGGGGATGGTAGCTATGATTGCTTTTCTTTCCGAAATAACAAATTCTGAAAGTTGACTTTTGCCTTAAAGGAAATGCTCAGCTACTCACCCTGTTTCGGTATTGAGTTCCAGGCTGCCTCTCTCCTAAGCCCCCTTCTGATAAAGACTAGCTCAGTAGAGTTTTGAACCAAGGTTTGGGGCTAATGTCCCACTGAATAAAATATATGTGCTTCTTGTGTCACCCTTTGGGAACGTGCATCCTGTGTGGAATACAAATAGATTGTAGTGCTAAAGCAGGACTCAGATGCTCCCTGGCTATTGTCACCATGATTTGTCCTTTAACAGCATCTGGAACCCATCTCCATCCCTACCGCAGATTTGCTCTAAGAAGATACTAGCAACTATTTGCCCCCAGCACTGAAACTGGAAAATAAGGTTACAGAGAATAGTCATTCATACTTGAATGACTGGTGGTGGAATACTAGGATGTTAGCGCCTATGTGTGACTGGCAAGGGTTAATTTTCGTGAAAATATGCAGTTTAGAACTTCAGATTGGTTTGACCATGATTTCAACCTGCAAAAGCAACAAGGTTCCATGAGATAACTATCTCTCACGTAAATAAAATAACTTGTCTCTTACAAATTTGGTCTATTAGAGCATAAGATCCATGTACTCAGGCAGCCAACTAGATGGCAAATTCAAGCTGTTCTTCTTGCTCGCCTTTTAAACTATGCTCAAAGATAAGAAAAAACTGTCAGTGTGATAAAATCCTAGGGTGCCATGGACTTCAACAGTCTCCTGAGTCTTATCCCCAGAATATGCTCTCATGTTGGTTCTAATTTAGACACCGGACAATGATTAATCTTCACATTTCTGAAGAGAAGACAAAGAAACAACCTCTAGCTAACTGCAGGGACTATCCAGTTGACAACAGAGTCCTAATTGCTTCTTGACCAAGAACCTTGCTCAAGTGTCTAATGGTTATGAATTTCAGAGTCTGAGTGCAAGCGCTGAAGGCAGGTAGAGGGTTCACTAAGAAAATGGACTAAGCTCTGCATTTACTACGTGGACAAAGGAGATTGTTCATGGATTGAGATGGGGAAGGAAACTTAATGAAAGACTAAATGAGACCAAAGTAAATACAGTAAATAATAAAGTAAATAAATAAAGATAGTAAATAATGGCTAGGACCCAGAATGCCTTTGCTTTGCGAACTGTGTTGGACTAGACACACGTAAAGACTTGATTAGCAAGAAGCAACTACAGGATATATTGAATGAGCAAAAATGCTTGTCCAGGGGATGTTTTAGTTTTAGAAGTTATGAGACAAATCAGAAAAGAATTAGGAAATGGAGGAAAAGAAGAAAGCTTGAGATCTCAGAAACCAAAAAAGACATATGAAAAGAGTAGGGGATATACCCACAAAGATACACTCAGATCCCAAATTTAATTGCAATTAACAGAAGCCATAGACTCAGTTGTAAACAGTACAGATAACACATGCTGGGGAGCAGTAGGTGAAACGGCATAGAAATCTTAGTAAAAGAGATATTAACGGCCATATTCTGGCAATGCTGACTGCCAATACCAAACTAGCACAAAACAGAGAGATAACCAAAATGCCAAAGTCACTAATAGTGACTAGTAACATACCAAATAGTCTAGTTAAGAAGAAACTTATGAAAAGACCTTGTTCTGTCTCTGACTTTGTCTCCACTACTCAGAAGATATATTAATTCAACACTATATTTAGGAAGTGAGTTAAACAGTTGGATGTCTATTGCTTGCTATCAGCATGCTGTAGATGTACAGAGACTCTCAGAAGCAGACCACATTATTTACTAGTCTAGCATGTTATTGAATTCTAACAGCTATTGATAGGAAAAATAATCAAAGTTTCAAAGGGCAGGTCTTGGAGGAAATATGGAAAGCAAGGTATAAAACTGATTTTAAAATTTAGGCTGGATCCGACTATAATAGCCTTAATAATTTTCCCAACAGAAAAGCAAATGATTGATACACCAGACCAATAGGTGAAAAAAGTCAGGTGTCAAAAGAATTTTGTACTGTGTATACACCATACCACAAAAAGAAAGGCCAAGACCTGGTCCAATTATCTTAATGAACCACTGGCCTGGACATCAGCTTTGGCCTTACCAAATCGTTGGGTATATTGTACCCTGTGCCTACTAAGTTCCAATATTATATCTATTTGGTAAAATGAGAAATCTTTGTCAATGAAGAGAAATTAGCACCAATAGGTTGTACCAGTCCCAATACAGTCATACCACCTACTAACTTTTCTCGGAGTACGGTGCTTCTAAGAAAAGATCTGTGATTTGGTACCAGGCATTACGTTCCTTACCCTTAAACATCTTCCCACTCTTGCAAGAATTCACTCAGGCCAAAGAAGAGTTATGCATGTAAGAAGTCTTGCTGTAAATCTTCTGAGAAGCAGAGCCTGAGACAGCAATTCTATTACAACCAAATGTATGGAAGAGCCAATTCCATGGCCAGCTGTTGTGGCACACGTGGTGGCTAATCCCAGCACAGGGGATACTGGAAGAGTAGGGACATAAGTTGGAGGAAAGCCTGAGCTACATAAATAAATCCAATAAAAAAAGAAGGGGGGATATGAACAACTAAAAGAAAAAGTGGACCTGAGAAAACATACACTGAGGAGTAGCAAAGTGATAAGGGCTATAAGCAAATAGAAATCTGGTGGCAGTTTGAGGGTTTCTGGTGCGGATAAAACCACCAGGAGAGAAAGTCATGTGGATTTAAGTGTCAATCACAGACCTGGACACGGGACAGGGAATCTTAACTACTACTAAGAGAAGGAACAATGAGGCCACAAATACAAACCTTCGATGAAATTTGGGAAAAATGGCATTTTATTTTGGTGATAATGGGTAATTTCACCAGCTGAATAGAGGCTTTTCAAACCAAAACATATATCATAGCAAGCAACATAGCCACAAATATTCTACTCAGTAAACTGCCTTCCATGGGGAGTCTCAAAGGATAAATTTTTGTGGACATTTTTCATTGAAAAATTATGTAATCAGACTGTGCACCGAGGAGATACTAATAGTGCGGAGGAGAGGGTGATGGCATAGCACCGTCGTTTGAGTCTAAGGAAATTAAGGTCCAGGATTAAAGGGCTACTTTATAAGGGATTCTATAGACTCCTTACACTTTTTGGGAGACCTAATCACCCCTTATCTTTCATAAAGATTGAATACAGGTCGAGTGAAGGAGACTCCTCAGAGTCCCCGTTTCTTTTCCCCTTTCCCTGTTGCATACTTTCCAAACAAAGAATCAAGCTGGGTCGTGATTCAGTGCCATCGATTAGAATGATGGTGCTGGAGAGCAGAGGATGGAGTCTTTATACGCTTACAGAATCCCATACAAATATGCGGCCTTCTGTTCTTCCTGTGGCCTCCAAGAAGCTGCTGTGAGAAACTGTCTATCTTTTTCTCTTTCTAACACGGCAGCCAGCTCTAGGGATACGATCCCATAACTCTAGATCTCTTGTTTGAAATGTATTTCTTTCCTGGAATTTTGACATCTTCTACACCAGTTTAATACCTCTGTAAAAACTGGACAACTGAAAAGGGTCTCACAGTCAGACTTAGGGCATTTTGTACCACTCAACATGGCATGATCTTAGGCGGTCTTCTTAGAAGACTAAATTCAGGAATGCAATCGCCTATCTTTACATGCAAAAGACATGTTCCAACATCTGCTGTGTGTGTGTTTCCAGATCTTACATAAAATCATTCCACAAGTTTCTACGAATTACATCTCAAGACTTCATTGACAGTCTTCGAGAACTGAATAGCACAATTCTTTGGTCTAAGAAAGAACCTTAAGAGTCATGCTATGGATCAAGGAAATAACCTCGTGAAAAAGCTTGAAGAACTTACCTGTAAATTCTCTCCCTTAGGGCAGACACATACAACTCAGCCATTAACCACTTGTGGTTAACAGAGAAAGGATAAGAAGTAAAGACTTAGATGTCCAATTGTGCATGCTCCCGCCCTTCATCTTCATCCTCCCAGAACAAAACAAGGGTTTCTCTAGTGCAAAGAACTTGAGGGTATCAGTAAATTTCTTCTGGGCATCGTTTCTTCCAGGTCCAGTGACTGATGGGAGCTTTTCAAGTCATTTGAGTGGAAAATCCCAAAATCTGATTTGAAGTTTAATTGCTCTGGGTTGCAATTTGGGGGTCGTTGCACAAGTTAGTGAAGGCAGTAATGTAGGACATTCCATTTGTTCCTTTACATTTGCTTATTCTCTTGGAAATACACAGGGCCTTGTGGCTAGTTGGGGGACAGTGTAATTTAAGTAGGTATGATGTGTCACTTCTGGGCTGAAGCAGTAAAGAGATTGTATGAAATGCTCCATTCTCTTATCCTTCTACTACAGTGACAGAGACTGCAGGCCCTGGGCAGTTAAACTATAAAACAGCAGAACTTCAGTCAGTGTAGACTCTTGAGCGACTCTGTGGAGAATATCATCTCCCACCCTATTTTTCCGACCTAGATGGGATTTGTGGTGTGAGCAAGAAGCAAATTGTTGGTGTTCCAAACCCCTGACACTCTGAGGTTGCTACCTGAGCATAACTGCATTCCTAAACTGCCCTTCTGCAATGCTCAACCCTCATTTCATCATCTTCTAATTTAGTTGCTACTAAATCTAAATGGTACACCTAGAGTCCTCTGTGTTGGCTCCATGGAACAGAAGACCATGCACAAATCAGCAAGTAAAGTTTAAGCTTTCAACCAAAATACATAGTAGTGAGTAGTGCAATTCAGTAAATACAATTGCTTTCTATTGCACAAAAAACAGGAAATAATTACATTTCTTATAGACATTTCTTTATTATATTTTCCCACTTGAATATTTAGAGAATAATTTAAATGTAACGCATACTGACAGCAAGCACAGTATCAAATATTAGGCTTTTTTAATATTTTTTTCTTTTCTCACCCTTTATTTCTTTTGGAAAAAATATTTAGATGACCTCAAAGAAACAATTATTATGCTAATCACAGTGTGCAGTAACACATACAAGCCCAGACTCAATAGAAAAGAAAGCAACAAAGAAGTGAAAAAGTCTTTCTCCTCAAATCATTTTAATTCATTTTTTCCACAGCCATATAAATTTAAAGTCTGAAACAACAATAATACAGCTATAGAATCTAGGTTCTCTTTCAAAGCAGCGGCATAGAAAACATATAAAAGCTAAAACCTCAGCACAAGCGTCCAAAAACCAAGGACTGAGAGGGATTTGATGAAGACATGAAATGCACAAAACACAGTACACAAAATACTAGAATGCATCAAATAGAAAGCTACACATTTCAGATAGAAAGTATTGGGAAATATATAAAATACACAAGAAATCAAAACCAAAGAGATTTTTTTTCCTTAGAGTACCATGAATACACTGGAACTGGCAATTAGCATTTGAAGATGGGAACAAGAAAATAGCAGTTTCCCATTTAAAACTTTATTTCTAGACTTTAGGATTTCACCTTCTTGCCATCCTTCTTTCCAGAGTTCTCAGTAGCTGACTCTGCTTTTCTTTTCTGTGACTAAAATGGAAACAGATTTAATGTTCTGCTCCAGTATGCACACTTTTAAATGGCCCAACAATGTTAAATCTAGGATGTAAATGCATTAAAAAATTTTTAACATGAATATTCACTTCAGTGTTACGCTCACAGTAAATGTTCTATATAGCTCAACAAACTATATAACCCAATGTAAAATAACTTTAAAGGTGTTTCTTTTTATGAAAAGACATAAAATATCCATCAAAAATAGTCATCAAGTATCTACTTACACATGGCTTATAAATGTACTCTTATCTTAAAGAACTACTTAATATTAAACTTTCTGGGGAATTTTTTTATTTAAGATAGATGTTAACGCACCATATTTCATATCTTCTATGGTGCACATTTCTTTCCCCTTTGAGCATCTCTGACATCAGGATGTACCTTACAACTGATAACAGATGATACTTGGCATCAAATCTCTCAGTGGCACAAAAAAAATGCTGTGTCTCACCACAGAAAGCATCTTAGATTTGAGAAAATATGGTGGTCTACTTAACACACTCAAACAGGATGATCTTCTAAAGAACATTTTGAATCATAGATATACACAGCAACCAGACAGGATTAAAATCACATTTTTAGCCAGCACTTAACTTTTTGTCAAAAAAAAAGAGCTTTCTTGTCTGCTCAGGGTTCTCATTTGCACACACAGTTCCACAAAGATCAAATGACTTATTTGATTGACTCAGAACTCCAAGTTTGAATCTCACACTATCCCATCTCAACTATAAACATTCCCTACTCCCACGGCGACCTAGTCTCAATTCGTAGGATCTTGTTTGCTTCTGCTTCTGCTTAGATTTGTGAGGGAGTTCTTAAATACCGAGTCTTGTAACAAGGGAGTTCCTAACCACATGTTCTTCGAACAAAATGGGAGTATATTTGTGGTGTGATTCTTCTTCTGTCTAAAACCAATTAGCATTTCATAAAACCCGGCGTGGTAACAGACATCACGATGGCATTAAACAGTGTATAAACATTTGTAAAGGTGTAAAAAAAGTGAAATCTACCTAAAAGTTAGGAAAATGCTGAAAACTTTACCATTGGAGTTTTAGTGGCCCTTTTCTTCTTTTCTGCTCTCTCTCTTTCCTCAATTTCCATATTTTCTTTTTCAATCAATGAAATCAAAGTATTACAGCGTCTCTGGAATTCCTAAATGAAACAACGAAGAGCTTAATTTCCAACACTTATTCAATCCTTTAAGATACTTCTTTAACTACATCATTTCTGTAGAAGAGAATTTCCAAAATTTGTATTTTTTTTCTCCCTACACCTACCAAACCAGTATTCTTTAGAATACCATTTGTATAATGTATTAGGAGGAGGAAGGCCTAAATGTCATTCACTGGGTGATGGGTTAAACAAGCTTCTCCATTACACCATGGAACATTACTCAACAATAAAAGGGAAGGAACTACTGATGTACAAAACACCATGGAGTGCAGAGAATTATTCTGTGTGAAAAACCCAATCACAAGGGTTATGTCTAATGTGTTTCCACTTCTATAACATGTTTTTGAAGCAGGATACTAGACTGAAACTCACTATGTAGACAAACAGGCGTTAAATGTACAGCAATTTTTCTGTCTCACTCTCCCAATTTCTAGGAGAACAGGCATGTGACACCGTGCCTGGCTATATAAGGACGGAATTAGAGACGTAGAGAACAGATCAATGGCTGCCAGATGCTGAGGAGAATAGAAGAATGGGTGTGGCTAGAGAGAATACAAGTGACCCTTATGGAAATGACAGTTCCACAGATCTGCAAATGGTAACACTACGTGAGATACACACACACACACACACACACACACACACACACACACACACACAATGCCTGTACAAATGATAATAGAACAAGTTCTGTGGATTATACTGACATGAATTTTCAGATTGCAACATTATACTATAGCTACTCAAGTTGTTACTACTGGGGGAAACTGTGAAGGGTGAATTTCATATCCTTGTACATTTCCTTATAACTTTCTGTTACTCTATAAATATTTCAGAATAAAATGTTAATATAAATCACATAAACAAGAAAGAATAAATGAATGTTCTATGGCTAAAATAGGTTTTGGAAATGTGGAGTTTGTAAAAGTTAAAATATTTGTTATTCTTTCTGAGATTATAATACAAACACATCATTTCCCCTCCATTTTCCTTCCTCTAAACCCTTCCATATGTTCCTTCTAGTCCTCTTTCAAATTCATGGCCTCTTTTTCATTGTTACTACATGCATATATGTATATGCATAGATTCTTAATTCCTAATTATAACTTGATCTGTGTTTGCAAGGCTGACCTTTGGTACTTGACAGCCAATTGTGCACCTCTCCCATTCTCAGCTTTTCTTGGTTGCCTGTAGTTCTTCGTGTAGGGTTGAGGTCTTGTGTGGGCTTTTCCCTGTCCACTTGTTCATATATGTTGTTGTTTTCCTTGTTCAGCTCATGTTTGGATAACCGTGTAAGTGGAACTTTATGGTTGTAGCTTCTGGCATTCCTAGGAGACAGAGTCTCACAGCAAACTCCCTGATTTTCTGGCTCTTACAATCTTGCTGCTCCCTCTTTTACAAAGGTCCATGAGACTTAGGTGTAAGAGTATTTTGTAGATGTATCCACTGGGACTAGACTCCACAACTCTGCATTTTGGCTGGTTGTGGTTTGCTAAAACAGATTTCTTTATTACAAAGCTTTCTGGAACCTTCCAACTCCCAATGCTCACCATGAACCACTAGGCAGGGATGTAAGACACAGCTGTTCCCAAAGCTTCTTTGCCAACAGATGTCTCTCACTACATATCTTATGGGATTCAAGTTCTGGAAATCAGAGCTGTACTTGCTAATTCAGAGTAAACATTATCTGAAAAGATTTTTGCATTAACCTTGTCACTACTATATTTTAATGCCAAGAAATCAATGCATTCAAACTATAAACAGATTTTATGAATGTATGGTAAGCATTAAACATATGATTCATTGATATAGAAACTCATCTATTATTAACCCTTTATGCTTTGCTGCATTTAAAGGTAAATAATGGATTAATACCAAAGGATAAATAATGCTAAAATAAATTACTCCTTTTCTGTGTAAGAAGTAATGCCTAACAAAACGCTCAAATCAATATATATATATATATATATGTATACACATATACATATATATACAACAATTAAGAGCAAACTCAAGAAAAATAAAAATGATAAAGTATAAAATAGAAAACTCAGCAAACTTTTAAAGAATATTTAAGGACTTATCTTTATTTTATATCTGTGAGTATTTGCCTGTGTGCATGTTTGTGCACCACATGTGTGCCTGGTACCTACAGAAGTCAGAAAAGATAATCAAATTCCTTGGAACTGAATTTATAGATAGTTATGAACCACCATTTGGGTTCTGAGAATCCAACTGCCCTGGAAGCACAGCCAGTGCTCTTATCCACTGCTTCATTTCTCCATCCTTAGTACAAGAATTGTTTTTGTTTTTCTGTTTGTTTTTTTTAGGTTTCAAAACCCAAATATGTAGTTCAGTAGTAAAGCACTAGCCCAACCTGTCTTCCACAACATATATGCATGCACACACATAGGCAAAAACAATTTGTTCTCTGAAGGCAAGACTCAAAGAAATGGGAAGTAAAACAATGCCATTTTCTACCATGTTCATAGTGTCCAAGTGTCCCTGCCTTATGCAGGTGTAGTATGTATACTTAGCTGCAGTAAGCTGTAAATGAGAACTCTCATTCACTAATGTTGAATGGCAGCATTATTTGTTATAAACTAAACTTTCTCCCCAAAATTCATCTATTAAAGCCCTGACTCTCATATTTAGGGGATCCAAGATGTTCAATGTCATCTTCTGGCTATATTTAGAGAGGGGTGATTTATGGCAATAATTAAAGTTAAGAAAGTCCAAAAGGGGAAGGGTACTAACCCTCCCATCACCTCATCATGTGCGAATGGTGGTCATCTATCCAACAGATTACCCTTGTTGGTACCTTAATCTTAGGTTCCAGTCTCCAGAACAAGAAAACAAAAAAGAAGTGTTGCCTACCCCAGCAAGTCTGTGGTATTTTGTTACAGCATTGAGCAGTGAACTACCTTTTGAGAAGATAAATTGGAAATAACAAAGAAATATTTTTAACATTTAAATATTTCACATCCTTTGTCTTAACAATTCTATTCTTAGACACTATAATAAAGAGAAACATAAAATATTTCAAGAAAAATTTAGAACACTGAAATCAGGGAAATCACGGAAACTAAATTTTTGGTACTTGGTAATAAAAGATAAAGATATTAGAAGTAACTAAAGAAATGCTAACAAGTAGTTAATATCAGATAGCTCTGAATGGAGCATCAGTGCCGGGTTTTTCTTTTTAAAAAAAATGGAATCGATTTATTCTGTACAAGATGAATTAGCATCAAATTACAAAAGAACTTTTGCCGCAGCAACTCATGTAGTTAAACTAATAACTTTTATTTTCTTCTTTATACATGTATATATTTCCAAATTTTCTAAAATAATCATTTAGGTCTTGAACAATTTATAAAGTTGGAAGAAATGGCAAGTATTTTTTTTAAAAAAAAAACAGGTTTTATCTTTCTAAGTAAGATCTAGAAAACTGCCACATAAAAGAGGCAATGTTGAAATTGTATATATTATCAGCTTTCCAAACATTTTCTGTTCTCTAATTCAAGCCACCAAAAAATAAAAGAAAGCCTGGACAGAAAGATATTACACATTAACAAATTTTTGTTTTCCAATTAAAAACAATATTATGTAACACCAGAATGTTTAAGTTTCATGGACATTCATAACTACCCAAGGTTAAATAAACTGATGACAAATAACACTGTAATAACAATCTAATGATCATGGCTTACCAAAGTAGTGGTAATATGTTTAATATGCAGACCAAATACTCTTCATAGTTTCATTCAATAATATATACAAATACAAATTAAACAGCATGTTATTCAATTTATCTATTATAGAAAGGGCTAAGTTGACCCTGATGAGATCTGATCCTTGGTTTCTAGGGAAACTACACAGATTCTTTATATAAAGCTGATTCTTGAATCATTAAGCTATACCCTCCGGCTATTATTATTCTCAATAAGTAATAGCTGCCTGCGACTGTAGATATCTTTAGATACATATTCATGGTTCATATGAATGATTCAGGGACAAATACTAATTCTTTCAGACAGTCTTATATGTAGAAAATAGAATATCTCAAAATGATTCAAAATACACTACAATTATAAATTCTTACCTTTATTTCTTTGACCCTGTCACTAACTCCCCCAAACACAGAAAAACAAACTCTACAGAAAAGCATCAAAAAGGAGGACAAGCTCTTTTGTTCTCTTCAATTTCTGTTTCTTGTCTTCCCATGTAGCTTCCTATTTTCCTGAGGTTAAGGCGATGGTTCATGGTGTGTCAAACAATTTCTGTAATTCTTCAGTCTAATTGACTCTCTCATCAATTCCCCACTCTTGATTTAGGGATGAATTTAGAAGAATGAAAACTAACACAGGAGAGTCAGAAAAAAAAAGATGCCAAAGCAATTAAGGGTGATAGAAGACAATAAAAAAATAACAAATTGGAAAACTGTTCCGCTGTGTTGAAAGCTGTGGAAAATATTTTAAGTATTCTGTGTTCACACATGTGGGAAATTCAAAAGGGCAAGCAAACTTATCTGTGGCAGGGCTTCTGAGCTGTTAGCGTTCCAATGTGGATTGGAAGTCTTGGTGGCAAAATTCAATGTCAGCATGCCCCAATCTATTTCAGGACAAAACATTTTTCTGGTTCTGAAATAATGTTTAGTAGAAGCCAACTTGGAAAATCATACACAAGGTAACAGCAATGGTTAAGGCTAAGTTATATACAGCTCAAAAAAAAATCCTTAAAGGTTTCCATGTAATTTAACAGACAAAAGAATCTCCATGACAGTTTTTGAGCAGGTTGAGTGAGTGACACAATTAAATATTCATTTTGTACTCAGAAACTCCTTTATACAGATTGTCACCTCATAATAATCTTAGACCCAAAATTAGAAAGGGGTTGACATTAAAAATTATTTAGGTTGATCATGAATCCCCAATAGATCCTTGCAAATGAGTCATGCAGCCCAGCCATGTATGTAGTTTCCTCCAATATCCGAAGGCTCACTACCTTCTAAGCCCAGCTACTCCAACTCTGAATAACCTGAACACCTTTCCTTATGCAACACTGCCATTTGTTACCTTATGGAATGTAACAACTGGTTCCATATCTAACGTGTGTAGTCAAAGAAAACAAGCCCATCTCCTAACAATTCTGTGTTTCAAGGAAGCTCCTGTGACTCAAGCAGAATCATCTGCAGAACCACAAACACTTCGTGTTCAGAGTAAATATCCTCTCTTTTCTCCCATATGAAACAAGAATGGGATGCAGTTTGACTGTTAGGGTTGAAAGTCAAAAGTGAATGAACAAGTAAGGGACAGGAAAGTAAAATAAAGCAAACAAGTACACTGCACATGTGTGTCTCTGAATTTGTAGATGAAACTTGTTTTTGTCATTTCTCTCTGCCCGTATTTCTTCCCCATATGCTCTTCTTCTGCCCTCCTACTTCTAGTAGTTTTCTCTCCATTTTCAGGTCACATGTAATGCCATACTCAAGAAAAACCAGCCAGAACATTTTAGCAGTTATCAGTGTTGACAGTATATTATTAATCTTTCTTATATTTAATTAAGAATGCAATGTCCTAAAATATCACTGCTAGCTGTCAACATGCAATTAAGAATTAACGTACAATATAAAATCATAAGCAACAAAGCATCACTGTGGTTATAGAACAACCAGAAATTTTCTATTTCCTCTTATTCCTCTAAAATATCTAAAAAGAAACATCCTTTCCAACTAGATTGAATATTTAGAAAAAAACATTCTGTGTGGAACCAGTAACCTAATTATCATTTACTAGCCCCTGTGATAACCATATAAAGTGGGAAGCAAGTTCATAAAAAGCTATAGCAATATTTTCTAGGAAGTAGTTTTTTCTCCTACAGTTCTAATGAGAAATGCCATTTTATTACTTTTAAATAAGGCACAATTTCATTAATAATAAAGTTGTGATTTGAAAACAAACTAATAACATGAAATTTTTATCACCCAGTATTCAACAGTATGTGATTCTCTGAGATGCTATCGCCAAAACTCATTTAAACTACTACAAAAGACAGGGTAATTGTAATGACTAACTACTAATACTCAGCTTCAACGGTAATGTTCTTGGCCACAGGCAAAGCAACACACAGCTTCCTGAGCTGGCTAAAGAGAAAAACAATGCTCTCCGGCAATTGAAAGGTAAGATTTTTTTCACTAAACTTAAAAACCAAAGTCCTCTTATAGAGAAAACAACAAGCATTTGATCAGTGAATGCTTATTTCTGAGAATTCAATTTTCCTTTTTCTTCTTTAAGTACTTAAAAGGAAACTAAGAAGAATCAGGCATTACTGATGAAAGGCTAGGTATTTTCCCCATGTGTATTGTCCAGTGAATTGACTAGTGTGTTACTGCCTTTGGAACACTCACATTCTCCACAAATTGCTATGTCACTAAGAAATGAACAGAGATGGCAAGAAAATTAATGAGCTAATAATTGATGCAGGGACAGGTCAGCATCATGTAAGAGATGCTACACATAAATACAGTATATTATCATTTCCTCTCATAGTAGTTTTTGAATGAGCACACATTAAGGCCCTATTCTAAGATTCCCAGCCCCAGGACGAGAGTGGTAAGGCAACTCAGATGCTCTGCACTTGAAAATCCAAGTTCCGCATATGCTTCCTACTTGTCTATGAACTTCAATAGAGGCTGATTACTTACTTAAAGACCACACAATTTCTCCAGGAAAAATTCACAATCTTTTTAGCACAGAGAGATGGAACTGAATCGTATTTTCTCTTTTATACAGCCAGCAGTTTTAAACGAAGAGCCTCAAACTCTTCAACCTTTAACTGAGGCATATGTGGAAGTGGCGATTCGCTCCTTTAAGCGCTTTGTGGGTTTTACTTAAGTCAGATGTCATGAGTTCAGTACTTTGAGATTTGCGCATAAAATGTAACCATTAAGGTGCTTACATTTTTTTTATAAGAAAGATTTCACACTATTTGTTGATGTGTCTGGGAAAGAAGAACCTTTCAGCAAGCCAAGTTCAATCATTGCAAAGATTTTCATTTAAGCACAGCTATAGTCACAAAAATGAATCAGATTGCATCCTCTATTTGCAAGACAGGGTTTTTCAATAAAGCCAATGTTCTCTATTACAGAAACCACAGCTGCTTCTCTCGGGAGGGTAGGTTCTCTCCCTAGATTATGAAAATTATTCACTAAAAAGGAAGTTATTTTAGAAGGAAATAGAGAAAGATGATCTAGAAATACTAATAATCCAAGCTCTATAATTATTGATATTAACATAATCTAAATTGATTACATAAATATATACTTATTTTAAATATATAACGTACACTCTAATTCAAGAACTATAAGTAAAATTTATCCACTAGCTAGAAGGAAAATCAAATTTTAGCATAATAGAAAAGCTTACCTAAAAAATTTAAATTAATATATTGAAGCATAAAATAAATGACTATATTTTTAAAAAATTCTGTAAAAATTAGAAATTTTACTTTCTAAATGGGAATAGAACACATAGGTGTCTCCAGTTTTAATAAACAAAATATAGATTCCAATTCATGATTACTTATATATTTAATATATGTCTTTTGGCAAATATGCTCTGAAGATTTAAATATCTACAGAAAGAAAGAGCACAGACGTACATGTTTCGAAAAAAATAAATAAGAAGATGGAGGAAAAATAAGAATCTTTACAAGGGAGTTCAGAGACATCTAGTGGTTGTTAATATACTGGAGTTTTTTCCTTGGTAACAGAGTTCGGCTATAGAGTTCTGCAAGCATCTTAATGCAAACAGTTTACGTCTTTTCTTGCACTTTGGATCTCTTTCATCCTACTGCCTTAGTTTAATAACTGCAGGAACTAGACCCAACATCAAGCTCCAACCTTTTAAAAATTAGTAAAATACCACTGAAATATCACAGAATTCAACAAATGTTTCATCGCATAAAAGGGCACATATGCTTGAAAATGTGATTTCCTAGAAAATGCAGTTAAGCATTTTTCTTTTACAAACTATTAGTTCTGCTCTAAATTACATCTTTATATGCATGAAAACTTGAGTGGCTAGAAATCTCAATGCATGACTTTGAAAGAAGTTGTCTACTAAATGTGGACATAGATACCCTGAGCAAGATGGCAAACCAACTCACTGCTGAAGTCTGACGACAGTCAAAATGAAATCTCATTTCCAAAAGAGGAGTTTAAAGGCAAGTCTACATTGTTCTTTAACAATCTACTTTAATGATCTGAAGAACCCTGTCTGTCCCTACATCTAATTGCAGAACAATCTTTGTGTACACTGTGAAGAAGTGTCGCTCTGATTGGTTTAATAAAAAGCTAAATGGTCAATAGCTAGGTGGGATTTCCCAGCAGAGAGGATGCTGGGACGAAGGGAAGACATGCAAGAAGACACAGTAAAAGCAGGAAAGCAAGAAGGACAGTAAGTAGATGCAGTGCATGCGCCTCGGGGCAGGACACAGGTTAATAGAAATGGGTTAAATTCTAAGAGCTAGCTAAAAACAAACCTAAGCTATTAAGCGAGCATTCATTACTAATAATAAGTCTCCATGTTGTGATTTGGGAGTTGGTGGCAGGACAACCTCAAAATTCACCTGGTTACTTTCAAAGGGAAAATGTACCATAAAGTGGTAATCCCTGGGAATCATAACAAAAACCAGGTGACCAAACTGAGCATCACAAGCAGTGTTAACTAAGAACTAAGTGAAGGAGAAGACAAGAAATGTGTACTTTTCCAAAATTAAGCAACAAAAGAAATACATACCATGGCAGTTCTAGACTTGATGAACCAGTCAAATCTAAACTGGGGAGCATTCCGTACACACTGTCTTAATTCTTCATACACATTTTCTCTGTCAAAGCCCATTTTGTGTAACATACAGATCAAGAATCTGTCCTCTTCCTCAGTATAGTTCTTTCCTTTACTGGTTCCATACTGAATACGCAACTGATGAAATGGAGCCTTGTATCTTGCAATCTGTAAGTTTCAACAAAATGGCACTTTTGAACTGAATGTGCCATAACAAGTCAAAGCTAAACACTACAGTAAATAAAATAAATTACTAATACACTGAAATAGAATACAGTACTTTGGCATCCAGGGCTTTCTTAATACTGATCCTTCGCTGAATTCTTGCTTCTCCACGTTCAATTTGAGCCATAATTTTCTCAATGTCCTGTAATTCATTGCAGCGTTCCCAAAACACAGCTGAAAAAGAAAGTTATTACTTTAAATTACTATCATTTAAGCAAATGAATCCAAGGAATTACAGGATAAAGAATTAACAGGCAGGTATGGGGTCATCTGTGTGCATGTATGATCAATTGTTAAATGCTCTTAAATTATCATTTTATCCAAATGTGATACAAAAGAAACCAAATGCATAAAATGAAACAGAAGCGGGAAGCATAAGCATTATAAATGTAAATATAGCCTTCTAGCAAGCAAAACGACAATAAAGTAAATCCGTTACTAGATCATTCCCCTTTTTCCTATGAAGTGGTGATTTCTACAGAAATTGTTGACTATGTCTGTAATCATTCACCATTCTTATACTTACAGTCACTTTGAGTTTCTATAAAGATGAGGGATTTTAACTGGACACATACAGAAGAATATTCAAATCACTAAGCCACCCAATCAAATTTTATAGATAAACCAAATAATCTGCTGAATTAATAACTCACATCTTATGACTTCAGAGAAGGCTTAATGACACTATCTACCTTCTCAAATTCTTCATTTTTGGAGCATAACAAGAAAGGTGCATTAGCACTTCATGGTTTGTATAAGCACTTATGTTCATTTATCACAACTTCTTATGTTAAGATACAGTTTATCCTGAATATCCAATTGTGCTCAATTCTTCTGCTACCAGTCAAATAAGCCCACTCAAATCTCCCCACCCTCTGACATAGCCTCCAATCTGATGAATAACAATTCTGAAGAAAGTTCTCCAGAAAGGCTGATAGTGTATATAGAGCCAGGGTAGAGGCACTTGCCTGGGCTTAAAGGCCACGAGCTTGCTCCATAGAACTCCAGAAAAGAAGAAAGAAAATTCTTCAGACAGTCTCACTGTACATGTCTTTGACACTCATTTCACGGTAGTTGGTTTAGTGACAAATTTAAAGGAACATCTGACAAGGAGTATTTTTCCATTGTCATTTTGTTTTCATGGTGAAGGGAATCAGACCTACGACCTTTAGTTCCACAGCTGTACTAAAACCCCAGCTCAGCGTATTTTTTTCTTTCCTTTTCCTTCCTTTTTCTCTTTCTCTCTTTCCTCCTTCCTTTATCTCAGTGAAGTGAGCAAAACCTAGAGCCCTAGTCACGCTACTTTAGTCATTACGTTTTTGAAACCTGCTCTCACTACACCCAAGTTGGCCTCAGACAAGCAAACTAGGCTGCCCTCGAACTCACGATTCTCCCACCTCAGAGTGAAGGCTGGGGCTGCAGGCATGGCTCACCAATGCCTGGCTACCTGCTGCCTTCTAGAAACACTGTTGTGACCTGCAGCTTGACTCACACCAATGCTGGGTCCCCTCTGTGTGCTTGCTCTTCACATTCTTTTCATTCGGCTTCATGAAAATATTTCTCTCCCATCTATTGTCCCCAAAATGCCCTGGAGCTAAGTTTTCAACCCTAAGACAAAGAGTACTGTCATGCTAGTGTTCAAAGAAAAAGAAGTTCAGGAGTCCGATGTCATATGAAATAAAATCCAGACACAATTAACTTCGGAATTTCCTTTTAGATTTCCAGAAGGAAAAAATAAAGTGTTCTCTAATTACAACGGATTTTCTTCAAGCACTAACAAGTACTCTAGATAGATGAAAAGCTACACCTAGTAATGAGCAAACTTGGATTTATTTATGTGTTTTGTAATCTTTTTTTCCTAATAAACACAGTATTTCAGTAGTTATCCCAAATAACGGGGGGGGGGGAGAGGGGCAAAGAAACAATTCTACATTTTAACACTTTTTTGTGTGGAAAACGCTCTTGATTCTAAATACTTGATATTCAGACTAAACTTGAAAGTTCAGCCTATGTGAAATTTAGCCACACACAGACAACAGATAGATTAAGCGATTTTAATAAGTTTTCTTTTCTGAAGCCTGCGTTTAGATACGGTCTGACACAGGTATTAATATTAACGCCACACGCTTCTGTGCAGCTATTCTGATTCTGATTGAGGCTAAAGACACAGCTGAGTAGGAGAGGGAAATGATTCAAGGACCACTGAACAGGTTTAGCCAAGAAATCTTTTTGGATCTATTCTAAATTGCCTCAAGTTAATAGGGCCCACCACTACCTGATTGAATTCCTTGAAGGCAGTTGAGTCTCTAAATGGGCCTGATAAGAGCTCTCTACTTCAAGGGTGACCTACGATGAGTATTTCAAACCGCTAAACCAGAAGCCTCGGAACTAGACCTTAAAAAGACCAAACCAGAGAAGTGAGAGAATAAAAAGCTCATGCCGAGTTTTTTGCTTTGGTTTATGCAGAGCTAATCGGCTTCCATAGTTGCCTCCCAGAGACAGCAGTGTACAAATGCAGTCATATCGTACATCCTTACTTTCGTCTCATTCGCAACAGCTCTGAACAAAGACACAACTAAATTAACGACAAAGAAATGGGCCGGAGAGATGGCTCTGTGGTTAAGAGCACTTGTTGCTCTTCTAGAGGACCCAAATTTGGTTCCCAGCACCCACATCAGGGAGCTCACAACCACCTTGAACTCCAGCTCCAGGGCATCTGATGTATTCTTCTGTTCATCATAGGAACCTGCACATCCATAGCATACATCCACAGGGACACACACACTTAAAAATAAATCTTATGTCAAAGAAATGCATACATTTAAAATAAAATATCATGTTTGAAATGGCATACAAACCTGAATACTCCATGACCTCCTCAGGGGATTTGCCCTCTACCTCTCGAGCTATATTATCAATGTCATCTCTCCCATACTTCTCATTTGCTTTAATAAACTGGTTAAAATCCCGCTTAGTCCAGTTTGTGAAACCCTGTGGATAAAAAATTAAGCATCATCAGTAGATGTTAAATTAATAAATTCAGTTATTAACCTACTTATATCTGTACAATGATGCAAGCAAAGCAGTTTTAAACACTTAGCATGTACCCCTTTATAAAGTTCCTTTCTGTAATGTGGAACCAAAAGCTAGGTTTGGAGTGTTAAGAAATTACTGCTCTTATGTTTTAAAGGAGATGTGCTTTTCATGTATTTTAAGTTGGTTTATAATTCTAAGACATTGCATAGTCTTAATTCCATATTTTCCAGATGCCTACAAAATGAAAATACAATTCTGATATAAATTCTAACGTAAATTCTTAATTTCTAATGTTTCGGTGTCTCAGTGACTTTTTTCCATAGGTCTGTTCCCTTGTAAATTGGGAGGTTGCGGAGGAAGGTGGGTGGGTGTACTGCATTGAAAGAACACTGAAAGAAAATCCAGAAAGAATCTGGTAAAATTTCCGTAGTTTTTTAGATTAATCCAAACTACAATGGATAAGTAGTTTTCCGGTAAAAATTGTATTCAAAAGGACTAGCAAGATGGAACAGCAGCTGAGATTGCCACCACACAAGCCTGATACCCTGAGTTCCATCCCTGTATCCCGCTGTGGAAGCAGAGAACTGATTCTCCAATGTTGTCCTATGTCCTCTATATACATATCTCAACATACACATGCCTCTCTCCATAATAATAAAGTGACTTTTAAAAGATTATATTTATAAATAAAATTTCTATCAGCAGAATATTACTTAGGCATCTGTTTTTAATAATCAGAGTTTCACATCATTTCACAATTATTATTCCATCAATGGTAATGTAGCTCAGTTGGCAGAGACCTTGCCTAGCATTGGTAAAACCCTAAGTTCAATTCCCAGCAGCATATAAACCAAACATGGTGGCATATGCCTGTAATTTCAATGCTCAGGAGATGAAGGGAGGAGGATCAGAAGTTCAAGGTCATTCTTTCAACTACAGAGTGAAGTCAAGGCCATCATGGGAAACATAAAACACTGAAAAAACAGGCATTAAATTTGTAACATCAGAAAAAGATGGCTTAAATTCAACTCTTAGGGACAAAAAAACTTGATTATGCCTCTAATTATAAACTCAATTATCTCGATCGAGATTACATTATACTGTATATTCAGAATATATTCTAAGCAATGTAGTATTCAAAGGGCACAACTTTATTTTTGTGCTCAGGAAATAAGTTCTGAAATTAAAATAAAAGAAAACATGAATATTTAAATGCTTTATTCTGTGGTACTTCTCAAAACTCTGCCAACTGCAATTATCCTTTCAGGCTAAACTTGGTGACTTCCAGGCATTTTTTCAATAACGTTGAAAGTATTTTGTCAAAATTCATTCAGCAAAATTATATGCTATTAAAAGGAAAAGGACTGCATCCACATATAAATATAAAACTCTTATTTTACTTTTATTAACACATATTCCTGGACTCAGTGTGATATTGTAAGGCACATTCTACAACTGGCATATATGTTACCTCAAGCAGCAATCCTTCTTTTGTGTGGGAAATATTCTAAACTATCAGTTATCAATTACACTGGAGAACTGCCTACTACCGGACCGTGCACATTGTTCCAAAAAGTGTTGAAGAAATAAATTTAGTTGGCTCAGGAAGTGCACAACTTCACATTTTGGTTATTTTGCCAAAACTCATTTCAGAAGTGTGATATGAAATTTATTAAACCAACAACGACTTGAAAGCTCTAAGGTGGGAGTCTTCCCTATTTAATGCATAGCCTATAAGTACACAATGATCACAATAAAATGCTTCAGGCATTTCTCATCATTGTATTCAAGTTCTTTCCTGAGAACTCTTAACTTCTTTCAAAAGGAATTTTTCATAAACAAAAACATTGGTGTACAGTTCAGAGATTAAGTCAATCATAGAAATTAATTTTCATGTAGATATTAGAAATTATTATTTATCAAAATTCAAATATGGACTCACTGACCTTTTTATAATTGGGAAAATACGTCTTAATTTTAATAATTTTATTTCCCATGTATATGTTACCCCAGTAGTTCCAGAAGAGCATGTTCTAATGAGGAAATATTCTAAAAACTGAAGATATGTGGTCAAAATATATGTTTATGGGTATGTCAGATCAAGACAACTGGACCTATACAGTAAAAAACAGGTATTATTTATATTTTTTCTATTTGTTAATTAGAAGTAGTTCAGAAACTTAAAATAGTTTACTTGTGTAAGAAGTTTGTCCTTCTCTTCAGTCTCCTGTGGTGTAAGAGGTTCAGCTCCATCGATCTTTTTTTGCTCTTCTCTTTGAGCGATAGCTGGATTGGGGCTCTCAGGATTTCTTGGAACCTACGATCAAGAGAGAAATGATGAACAAACTGATGAAAAGCTAATAATCAAGAACAGTGGACATACATACATCAATCTGGGGAGTTTTCAGCCGTCAACAGTGGAAACTCAGAAGCAAATGGCACACAGGCCTCTCTGCATTTCTACCAGTATGGTATTACCCTAATGAAAACCATTCTCCTACTGTACAGTATAATATTTTAGGATTAAAGTCCATTGGTAAATAGATGCTACAATATATTCTAAGTCTCATTATGTCATAGAACGAAATAAGTCCTTATAATATGGCATTCTGTAGAATAAGCATACAATTTGGCACTTAAAAAGTCTAAAGCCCCCTGTTAGTATACAGCAGGGTAGACAAAACTGCACCTAAAGACAGTATCCAATGTTCTGGTCATCTTCAGGTGTGAAAACAATAGAGTGCCTTTATTCGCTGCTAGAAGTTGTAACTGCAGAGTATTTGGTATAAAATGGGTAATCTAGAAGACTGGCGAGATAAAGAAAAATACAAAGAAATAGAGAAGTTAAGAAGTGTATGTAGAGGGAGTGTATAGTATAGCACACAAATAGCTATGATGGAATCATCACTCGTGGGAGAAAACTTGTACACTGGCAGTGGCCAGCAGAAATAACAATGGTACAGGACTGTAAAACCACTGACAACTGAGAAAAGAGCATGAACTGGCACCACTGAGGACAGAAGACCCTCAGATCTTCCACAGATCTCTGAGGAAGCCAGCAGTAGTGTGCATCTCGAAACAGTAGCTCAGAAGGCTCCAGGGTATCATGGTGTGCACACAGTCCACTGTGGTTCAGCAGCATTGGATGGCATTCTTTGTAGGGAAGGACAAATCTGGATTCCAGCCTTGAAGTCTTCTAGCACCACTACAAACATCTGAAGCCATGCCACAGCTCACTGATTTAAGAGAGCAGGTACAGAACATATGGAGTATATTTTATAGCGTTCCACTAAATGTGAAAATAAGAGGCTTGGCCATAAGTCTTCCACTGTTTGGAATGCACACATAATATAAATGACTCATTCCTAGAAATGTCAAATAGAAATACCGCAATAAAATTATAACGTTTATTAGAGGATATTTTTCTCATTGTTATACCTATTTCCAGACATCGTGGTACACACCTTTAATTCTAGCACTCGGGAGGCAAAGGCAGGTGGATCTTTGTGAGTTCGAGGCCAGTCTGGTCTACAAAGAGAGTTTCAGGAAAGCCAGGGTTGTTACACACAGGAACCCTTTCTCTTCTAGGGAAAAAAAATGCATTGTTATAACTTTAAAGGTGAGCATTTTAAAAAGTATTGTATCCAATAGTTCTTCAGATAAAAACTTACCAAATATATATTTTTTAAAAAGGTTGTATATTAAAAAGCAGATTTATTTGTAACCACCAGTATCAGATAACCAAATTGGAATATATTGAGTAAGTGTCTGTTGTACTCTTACTACTAAAATAAGTATGGACTGGTTACTAGACACAGTCCTTGCCCATAGAAATTCCCAAACCAATTCTCTGATTTTGACCTTTATTTTAAGCATCCTAGTTTCACCAGGTATAATGGCACACAACTGTGATCTTAGCACTTAGAGGCCAAAGAAGGAGGGTTTCAACTTTGAGACCAGCTTGGGTCTGCCTTGTAAGTCCAAGGAGAGCTGCATTACACGACAAGAGCATCTCATAAAACGAGAAAGGAAAGACTATGTTAGTACACATCCTCTTATCTTACCAGCTGGGAGGCTGGGGCAGGAGAATGGCTCACGAATAAGATAGACAGACAGACAGACAGACAGAGGAAAGACAGAGGCAGGGAAGGGGAGCATAAAAGAGAGAGAGGCAGTTGCAGGAAGGGAAGAGGAGAGAAAAGCAGAGTAGGAAGAGGAATAAAAAGGGGAAAGGAGATGAAATGAAAGACTGGGCAGTGATCAAAACCTGTAAAGAAATAAAGTTCTGCAGCGATGGGAGGCAATGACTTTCCTAAACTGGAGCAGTATAAGCAAAGGCATGAGGGCAGAAATGCACTGGGATACACAGGAGTTGTATTAGGTACGGTGTATGCTGAGCAGGAGGACACTTACCTAGAATGCATGAATGCTTGGGTTCTATCGCAAGCACCGGGAAAAAACTGTTAGGACTAATATTGAGAAAAGGACCAAAAATCAAAACCAGGTAGACAGATTCAGAGGGTCCCAAACTTCATAGAAGACTTCAGATCAAGGAAATAAGGTACCAAAATGCAGCATTTTCAATGTAATCCTTCCAGGAGATGGAGTAAAGTAAAGCAGATACCAGAGGCAGGGGACTTTCTGAGCCACCATAACTTGGAAATGAAGTGTGGTGACAAAAGAAATAGAAAAGCATAAACTAAGACTGAAATGGAGGGGCTGGTGAGATGGTAGTCTCATTCTAAATGGCTCAGCAGGTAAAGACACTTGCCAAATGGCCTGCCTTCCAACTGGGTTCAATCCCTGTAACTCAGACGGGGAAGAAAAGAACTGACTACAGCAAGTTGTTCTCTGAGCTCCATAGGCACACTGTAGTGTTCTCTCTCGTTCTCTCGTTCTCTCTCTCTCTCTGTGTATCGTTCTCGCTTTCTCCCCTTCTCCCTCTTCTTCAAGATAAATAAATGAATAAAAAAGGAGCTAGATTCCATGAGGTAGTGAAAAACTTCTATTGCTTAGGAGTACAGCGAGATTTCCTAGAAATATGGACTGCAAAATTAAACGTGGCAGTATAAAACATGAGAGCAGTCGCCTGAAATCAGCTCCCCAGAGTTTAACAGGCAGCCCCAAATGACATATTACCAAAGCTCACAAAGTGTGTGGAACTTGGTCCATTTGTCAAATGTTTACGTTTGTCCCTAAAGAAATCTTTTTTGGAGAGAGCTGTTGGAATACCCTAAAGCTTTCTTAGCTTCAAACATGACAAAGCTCTTTCGCTCATGCTCTTCATAGACCGCAACTTCCAGGTAAACCTGGACCTTTTATTCTGCAGTTACAATTTCAACTGTCACCCTCTTCCAATGAGAAGACTTTGGTGAACAAGTAAGCATATTAAATATCAGCTCTTTTAATTTTAAAGAGTAATAAAACCTCTCAAGATGTCTCACAGCAAGGTCCAAGCTTCCATAAGGAAGAATTGACTCTGCCGGCTACAAAGTGGTTACAGGATAGCAAGTAAATGCTTCTCCCGCCCCAAGTGAAACAAAACCTTTTCACTAAAAACCCTACCACCTACACTTCTGCTGTGGTCTTGGTGTACTGAATATGGAAGGAGAGACAACTAGAAAATTAAAAGGCTAATAGCTAATAATAAGCAGGATCTCACAAACATGCATTATCAACTGTTTCAGAACTAGTGAGCCGACACCAGGCGTGGTAGTGCATACCTTTAATCCCAGGACTCAAGAGCAAAAGCAGACAGAGCTCTGTGAGTTCGAGGCTAGTGTGATTTACACAGAGAATTCCAGACCAGCTAGCATAGCACAGTGCATCCCTGTCTCAAAACAAAAACACAAACTAGTCAATCCCTTACTAGCCCTCTCCTCAATAACTGTAGACTAAGACTTTGGAGACTCAAAATAGATAAATCATATCCATTCGCTACACTGTGCCCAGCTATGGACAATACCCATTTCCTCTTAGCCCATAGTCTAACCTACAGTTAGGTACCATGTGTGGCCAAGGGGAACTATGAATGCAGTCCAACACGAAACTATAAACTTATTTAAAACACAGATTCTTTGCTATGTTTTAGAACTCAATTGTATGGGTCTTGAGAGTGAACTTTGTAGATGGCAGTCATGCGGCAATGTCAAAATATTGGACAACCTTGAATGATTATTAATTTAAATAGAAAAGGGAGAAGCAGTTGCATTTTTTGAGAACCTGTGTGTAGAAAACCTGAGTGAGGTAACCCAGACCCAGAAAGGTAAACACGGTATGTACTCACTCATAAGTGGATATAAGACATAAAGCAAAAAATAACCAGCCTACAGTCTACAACCCCAGAGAGATTAGGTAACAGGGAGAACACTAACAGAGACATACATGGATCCCCCTGGAAAGGGGAATTAGACAAGATCTCCAAAGGAAATTGAGAGTAAGGAGGGGGAGGAGGGCAGAAGGGGAGGGGGAGGAGGGCAGAAGAGGAGGGGGAGCAGAGAAGGGGCGAGAGGAAGAGAACATGAGAGACTGGGATGGTCGAGATGGGGAAAGACAGACAGGGGGAGCAAGAAAAAAGGAGGTATCTTGATTGAGGGAGCCATTATGGGCCTAGCAAGAAACCTGGAACTAAGGAAACTCTCAGGAATCAACAACAATGACCCCAGCTAAGACACTAAGCAATAGTGAAGAGGGTACCTGAACCGGCCTTCCCTGTAATCAAATTGGTGACTACCTTGATTGTCATCACAGAACCTTCATTCAGCAACTGATGGAAGCAGATGCAGAGATTCACAGTGGAGCACTGGGCTAAACTCCCAAAGTACAGTCAAAGATAAGAAGGAATGATAATATGAACCAAGGGGTCATGACCATAATGATGATACCCACAGAAACAGCTGACCTGAGTTAGTGAGAGCTCACTGATTCTGGACTGATAGTTGAGGAATCTGCATAAGACCAAACTAGGCCCTCTGAATATGGGTGCTAGTTCTATGAATGGGGCAGCCTGTGGGACCACTGGCGGTGGGACTAGTGCTTGAACTGGCATTTTGGAGCCCATTCTTTTTGAAGGGATACCTTGCTCAAACTAGATATAGAGGGTGGGGCTTAGTTCTGCCTCAAAGTGATGTGTCAGACTTACCGTCAAAGTGATGGGAAGCCTTACCTTACCCTCTCTGAGGAGTGGAAAGAGGATGGGCTAGGGAGGTGGTGGAGGGAGTGGGAGGAAGGGAGGAAGTGGGAACTGGGACAGATATGTAAAATGAGAAAAGACTGTTTCTAAAAAAATTAATTTAATAAAAAATATACAACAAGTAC